AACTTAAGTCAATTTATTTGAAATAAAATAAAATAAATTTGGGGATACATAAATAAGAGTGAAAAAATGGAAAGTTTTGTCTTTACATATAACAGTAATGTAAATGATAGTTAAATTAGTGAAGCCAAAAGCTGAAAAATTTTCACCTGACCTTCCCAATGAAGTTAATTAGACACTCAGAAATCAGAAAATATACTCAAGAGCAGGGTTAATGTAGTCTCTAAGAACAGATATGGAGAGAGCTATAGAATAATATGAGCAGTAGTTTCTTTCAGTCTATGAGTTTGTATGGATTATTAGTTGACAAAGAAAGGAAAAGATGAATACCTTTGACCTAGCCAGCCATGAGTTTTGGGGCCAGTTAATGGTCCCAGGCATCAAATTCCTTCTTGTTGAGTGGATCTTAAATCCAAGCATAATATGATTGGCTACTCCTATAACATTAGTTATATTAGTTATATATCAATATTGCACCAGTGAGAATATTAAGCTAGGTCACTGGTTATTGTTGCCCAATGGGTTCACAGCTGACAAGATGTAATTACTTTTTTCCCTAATATCACACATACTACCTTCCAGCACTCTGAAATCCAGCTAGTAGGGATGAAGCTTCCAGTGTGATTTATCCATGTCCTATAATGCAAGTAAGGCCTTTAGCAATAAGGTTTCACATCAAGTACTGCACATATACACAAGCTCTCTCTCTCTCTCTCTCTCTCTCTCTCTCTCTCTCTCTCTCTCCCTGTGGATTGTAGCATGTTTTTCCTTTGCTTTATGGCTAATATCCACTTATGACTGGGTGCATACCATGTTTGTCTTTGTGGGTCTGGGTTATCTCAGTCAGGATGATCTTTTCTAGTTCCATCCATTTGCCAGAAAATTTCCTAATGTCACCGTTTTTAACATCTGAGTAATACTCCATTGCATAAATGTGACATTAAGTATTAAATTAGATACAAATATAGTTATTAAATTAAACACGTTTTTCTCAGTTTTCTTCTAGTACATTATAGTGGTCTGATTCATGGCTTATTTCACAGCAACTTTTAGCAACTTATAATCACCAAGTATTTTTCAAACATTCAAATGCCTCTTTTCATTAAACACTTTCATATTCACAAAGCCTTATTAGATCTTGTCACATTTAATAAAAACTAGCTTATTAAAACAAGTCATGTGATTTAGTGGATTGAGGAAAAATCAGGTGAGTTGTAAACCTCCCAGGTCCAGCCCAGATTTTGGACAGTCCTTGGTATAACGGAGTATGGATTGAGAAATAATAGATATGAAAAATGTAGATGAAGACAAAGAAAAAGACAGAGACACAAGATAGCTTCAGGAGGGCTCTGGGTCAATACCACAGTTGCCTCAAGTTTATTTCTAATGCGATTTTTGTATACTAACAAGGGTGTACAAGAGACCTCCCCCTTTCAAGGTCAGGGTACAAAGTACAAACAAGTGTAGATCCTTTCTTAATTTTCAAAACACTTTGTAACCATACTTTATAGCAAAACATCTTTTTTTTTCTGGTCTTAGTTTTTTTCCTTTCTGTTTTTTTTATTATTAAGAGATTTTTTTCTATTCATTTTACATACCAACCACAGATTCCCCTCACCTTCCTCCTCCAGCTCCTTAACCTTCCCCCACAACCCACCCCCCATTCCTACCTCCTCCAAGGCAAGGTCTCCCATGGGGAGTCAGCAGAGCCTGGTACATTCAGTTGAGGCAGGTCCAAACCCCTCCTCCTTAGACCAAGGCAAAGTGTCCCACCATAGCCACTGGGATCCAAAGAGCAGGCTCATGCACTAGAGACAGTCCTGATCCCACTGCCTGCCAGGGGGCCCCCTAAACAGTTCAAGCTAAACAACTTTCTTGCCTATCCAGAGGGCCTAGTCCAGTACCATGGGGGCTTCTCAGCTAATGGTCCACAGTTTATACATTTCCACTAGTTTGGCTGGCCATCTATGTACATTTTCCCATCATAATCTCAATGTCTCCTACTCATAGAATCCCTCCTCTCTCTCATCAATTCGACTCCTGGAGCTCAGCCTGGTGCCTGGCCATGGATCTCTTCATCTGCTTCCATCAGTCACTGGATGAGGGCTCTATGATGACAGTTAGGGTATTCAGCCATCCAATCACCAGAGTAGGGCAATTTAGGCACCATCTTGACTATTTCCAGTAGTCTAAGGTGGGGTCATCCTTGTGGATTCCTGGGAACTTCCCTAGCACCCTGTTTCTCCCTATTCCCATGACGTTTTCATTTATCATGGTATCTCTTTTCTTGCTCTTCCACTCTGTCCCTGTTCCAGCTCAAACCTTCCATTCCCCTATGTTTTCATCCCCCATCCCTTGCCCTCCATTACCCCCCCCACTAACTCCCAGCATGCTCATGTAGATCTCATCTATTTCTCCTTCACTGGACAATCCATGCATCCTTCCTAGGGTCCTCCCTGCTAGCAAGACTCCCTGGAGCTGTGAGTTGCAGCCTGGTTATCCTTTGCTTTGCATCTAGCATCCACTTATGAGTGAGTACATACCATGTATGTCCTTCTGAGTCTGGGTTACCTCACTCACTCAGGATGATATTTTCTAGTTCTATCCATTTGCCTGCAAATTTCATGATGTCATTCTTTTTCTCTACTAAGTAGTACTCCATTGTGTATATGTACCACATTTTCTTAATCCATTCTTCAGTTGAGGGGCATCTAGGCTGTTTTGAGGTTCTGGCTATTAAGAATAATGCTGTTATGAACATAGTTGAGCATGTGTCCTTGTGGTAAGATTGAGCATTCCTTGGATATATGCCCAAGAGTGGTATAGCTGGGTCTTGAGGAAGATTGAATCCCAATTTTTTGAGAAACTGCCACACTGATTTCCAAAGTGGCTGTACAAGTTTGCATTCCCACCAACAGTGGAGGAGTGTTCCCCTTGCTCCACATCCTCTCCAGCATAAGCTGTCTTCAGTGTTTTTGATCTTATGGCAAAGCATCTTGTAATTAGGCCTTGAAGTATAAGACACCTGGTAAGCATGCCTTTGGCCAAAGTATCTTATTATGCAGCCTTGCAGGACAAAACAAGCTTGACCTCTCTGACCCTGAGTCAAGATGGAATAAAGCCTCCCTGTGGAGTCTCTGTGGGCCCCCACATAAACCAACACGCTTTGTGGGATAGAAATGCTCTGATATGCTGGAAAGCAAACTGTGGATCTCTGTGTTTATGGTCAAGGGCAGCATACAGCACATTATTCAGGGAAAAATGAGGAACACTGGCTGATCTGATACATCCAGTAAGTGAAAATTGGTTCATAGATTCTCCACTGCATTTTTTGTAGTAACCACTACAGTGAGTTTATTTTTGACCCTAACATGTGCAGTTGATTTTCTTGTGTTTGCATTTGGATGATCAAGTCATGTTTCTCTGTATATTGCATTAGACAATCATGGAACAAGGCTAAACCAAAATGATGGTGAACTTTTGTTTCACTATATTTGAATTTGCTTGGATAACTTATCTTGTGCGCATGTAATTTTTGTCTTCAAGGGAAATAAAAAAAAAACCCTGCTTAAGCTTATTTTCATTAACAAACACTTTCTTGGCTTATTTTAAATGTTTATCTTCTTTCCAAGGGAAATAAAAAAAACCCTGCTTAAGCTTATTTTCATTAACAAACACTTTCTTGTTTATTTTAAATGTTTATCTTCTTTCCTTAATCTTCAGCCCTTTTTATTCTACTGTATATTATTTTAGAACATTACTTTTCTAATTGGAATGAATATGCCTGGTTTACACTATCCATGAATGTCCATTGTCTGGAGTTATGAACTGGATAAACATATACCTTAGAGATATAAAACTGTAAATCTTGCCAAGTGTGGGGGCACACAGCCATAACTCTAGTATTCAGGAAGCTAACCTGGTCTAACTAGTGAGTTTCAAGTCACACAGAGATACATAATAATACCTTTTATAAAAAGCTAAGTAGATAAATAAAACAAAAATCAAACAATAAAATAGGTGCCTTGAGTCCTCTTCAAATAAGACCTTATTATTTCATAATTTTCCCTATCCCTTCTTATAAGTTTACCAATTATATACATTGTAGGTTAAATTTTCATAGTGAATTGACTTTTTACAATTTATAATGTTATATTTTCAAAAGTTATTTATGGGAATTACTTTTCATCTTAATATTTGAATTAACTATTTAATCTTAAAAATATGTTGTATCAGTGATTGATGCAAAGCATATTATTTTACCTTACAACTTCTCTACTGTGATTCACATATTTTGATTAGTCATGAAACAACCCAGAACCTTTGTTCAGGAGTTGTTTTAATTGTATTTATCCAGGAACATAAACTACATGCCTTATAATTACATATAGAAATTAAAACACAGTTATGCTAATCTGCAGTGATAAATGTCAAGAGTGGTTATTTATGAGGAATAAGGACTGAGGGAAAATATAAAAGATGTTTTTAGGTTGTTGAAATTCTTCCATTTCTTAATGTTGACTGCTTTTTTACTAGAATACTCACTGTCTATCTCAAAAATTGAAAATTCACTTCTATTTGGATTTTCTGAAATCCTCTGTGTGTATGTTGTATCTTAATAATTATGCTTAACCAAACAGATGGCCAGAATTTCCATCTACCTAACTATAAAATGTATGCAACCCTACCTGTTTAATTAAATACAACAAAATACAAACAAAGTATTAGCTCACGTGAGTGGGATTTAAAATGCCATGTAACAAGACATACCTGGTGGAGAACCTATTGGTAGGGCTTGTTATGGGAATTTATAGGCAAGTGCCCAATTAGTGGAGATGTCCAGGGAAAATTATGTGAGATTTTATATTATGAATGTTTTACCACCAACATTGTGTTTGAAAACTAAATACTAAATAGGCAATCCCTAATAAAACTCTGATTCAGCCTCCCTGTCATTAACACAGGCAAGCAATCATTGGCTTACTTTTTCTTTTGCAGAAGACATGGTGGCTGGAAAGTGTTTCTTCAACAAATCCGACCCCCCAGAGTTCGTGTTCCGTGTATTCACCAATGTCCCTGAATTCCAGGCTCTCCTCTTCACCCTTTTCCTCCTGCTCTATCTGATGATCCTCTGTGGCAACACTGCCATAATCTGGGTGGTGTGCACCAATAGTTTCCTGCGCACACCCATGTATTTCTTCCTAGGCAGTCTGTCTCTCGTGGAAATCTGCTACATCACAGATGTAGCACCCTTGATGCTTTCCAACATCCTTGGAGCCCCAAAGCCCATGCCGTTGGCTGCTTGTGGGACACAGATGTTTTTCTTTTCTGTCTTTGGCTGCACTGACTGTTTTCTCTTGACAGTCATGGCCTATGACAGATATGTTGCCATCAGCCACCCACTACACTACAGCCTCATCATGACCCAGAAGCTGTGCGTTAAGATGGTGCTGGGCTCCTTGGGCCTGGCACTCCTTCTCTCCTTGCAGCTTACTGCCTTTACCTTTACATTGCCATTCTGTAGACATCGCCTGGAAATCAACCACTTCCTTTGTGATGTGGCTCCCATCATGCGCCTGGCCTGTGCTGACATCCATGTGAGCCAGGCAGTCCTCTATGTAGTGAGCATCCTGGTGCTGACAGTCCCATTCCTGCTGATTTGCATCTCCTATGTGTTCATTGCGTCTACCATCCTGCGCATGCGCTCTGCAGAGGGTCGTCAGAGGGCCTTCTCCACCTGCTCCTCCCACCTCACTGTGGTTTTGCTACAATATGGCTGTTGTAGCCTGGTGTACCTGAGGCCCCGCTCCAGCACTTCAGATGATGAGGCCCGCCAAATTGCTCTGGTTTACACTTTTGGTACCCCGTTACTCAACCCTCTGATTTATACCCTTAGGAACAAAGATGTCAAAGGTGCACTGAGGAACTCTCTCTTCCATAAAGCAGTACCTGACCCTAGTTGATGGCTTGGATGGGAAGACATTGAACAGAGTATTTATCAGTTAAACCAATCAACTGTAGGTGGGGTTTTTCAACGGGATTACAAACTCCCTAATAAACATCAGGGAGACTTATTATTAATTATAAATGCTCAACTGATAGCTTAGGCTTCTTATTCACTAGCTCTTACAACTTAAATTAACCCATATGTATTAATTTATGTGCTTCTACGTGGCTCATGGCTCATTACCTCAACTTCTACATGCCCTGCTTCCTGTGCATCTAGGTGGTGACTCCACCATTCTTCTTTCCAGTGTTTTCTCAATCTGGCTCTCCTGCCTAACCTCTTCCTGCATAGCTATTGGCCAGTTAGCTCCTTATTAAGCCAATGAGAGCAGCACATCTTCATAGTGATCAAAAGGATTATTTCATAGCAATCAACTCTAAAGGATAAAAAATAATACATTTATTTTCCTTCTACTTTTGGCTCTTTATTCTTTTTCCTTCGATGTGCACCATGTCAATATCTGTACTCATTTCCCAAATTGCTATGAATATAATTGCTTTTAACTTTAATTTTTTTAAAGTTCTCCTATAGCATTTGTTCCATCAGAGACAATATCTTCATGGTTAAAGACTGATGGCTTTGTACATGCTGCTTACTGAGGAAAAGTCTTCATTAAGGAAAATCCATAAAGTCACATATTATTCTCTAAGATGTAGATTCCATTATCTTAGATATAATGGCATTCAAAAAACTTAGATAATTCATCAATTACCTTTGTTTTTGCATTTCAATGAGGACAAGTATTTCTTTCCCTTGACTTGGTATCTACTATATGCCAGCTGTGGTAGGGTAGCAATAACTAACTATAGTCATTGACAACATCTCTGTGCTCTTTGATTTCATATTAATTTTATTATTCCTTTAAAAAGAGAAAAAGGGCCGGGCGGTGGTGGCGCACGCCTTTAATCCCAGCACTCGGGAGGCAGAGCCAGGCGGATCTCTGTGAGTTCGAGGCCAGCCTGGACTACCAAGTGAGTTCCAGGAAAGGCGCAAAGCTACACAGAGAAACCCTGTCTCGAAAAACCAAAAAAAAAAAAAAAAAAAAAAAGAGAAAAAGGATTTCTTTATTTCAAAATTATATATATTAGTGTTTTGCTTGCATGCATGTATGTGCACTGTTGCCCAAAGAAGCCATAAGAGGACACCCCACCCTGGAACTAGAGTTATGGATAGCTGTGAGGAGCTATGTGGGTGCATAGAACTGAACCAAGGCTCTCTGTAAGAGCAGCAAGTACTCATAACTACTGAACCAACTCTTTAACCAACAGAAGATATTACTTTTAAGTGTGTATGCTAAGTAAGTATCTACAAAGTGAATTAAAACATATAAAACAATTATATTTCTCTGTTATTGGTTTCGTTTTATTTTACTTTGCTCTCTATTTTATCTATTTTCCTGATAATTTTTTATTAAAGAATTTTTTATTCATTTTACATACCAGTCACAGATCCCTCTCTCTTCTCTCCTTCTGCCCCTCCAGCCTCACCCCCAAACCCAATTCCCATTCCCTCCTCCAACAAGGTATTGCCTTCCATGGGGAGTAAGCAGAGCCTAGTACATTCAGTAGAGGCAGGTCCAAGCCCCTCCCCCTGCATCAAGGCTGTGCAAGGTGTTCCACCATAGGTAGGGGGCTCCAAAAGGCCAGCTCATGCACGAAGGATGGATCCTGGTCCTACTACCAGGGGGCCCTTAAGCAGATCAAGCTACACAACTCTCTTGTTTATGCAGAGGGCCTAGTACTGATAAATTTTATTTATCTCATACAATATACCCCAACCTCAGTTTCCCTTCCCTCCACCTCTTCCAGTCTCCTCCACCTTCCCCTCTAGCCAAGATCCAGTCCCCAATCATTTCCTTCAGAAAAGAGCAGGCCTCCCAGGGATATCAACCAAATACAGCATAACAAGATATAACAAGACTAGGTACAAACATCCTATCAAGGTTGTGTGAGACAATCCAGTAGGAGAAAAGTGTTACCATGAGCAGGCAAAAGAGTCAGAGTCGCCCCAACTCCCACAAAAACATCAAGCTAAAAACCATGACATATGCAAAAGACCTCGTGCATACCCATGAAGGCTCCATGATTGCCACTTCAGTCTCTGTGAGCCCCTATGAGCTCTGCATAGTTGATTCTCTGGTCTCTGAGCTATGCAGCCTCTGGTTCCTGTCATCCAGGCGGTGTTAGGCATGGGCTCTCTTTCATACTTTCAAATTAGACCAGTTATTGTTTGGCCACTTCTACCAGTTCTGTGCTTCTATTGCCCCACAATATCTTGCAGGCAGGATAGATTGTAGGTAGAAGGTTTTGTGGTTGGGTTGGTATCCCAGTCCCACCACTGGAAGTCACCTGGTTACAGAAGATAGCCAGTATAGGCCCCATATCATCCATTACTAGGAGTCCTCACCAAAGTTACCCTCTTAGAACTCTGGGAATGTCTACTGCATTACCTTTCCACATCATTCCCTAAGTGCCCTACAATTCCAGTGACTTCTCCCCATGTTCTCTTCTATCCTCCCACCTCTACTGGATCCCTCCTGTTCCCATTCACACCTGCCCAGAGTCTACCCTCAAAATCGGTTCTTTTACCACTTCCCCGGGAGATCCATGTGACACCCTTAGAGCCATCTTTATTACTTAACTTTTCTGATTCTGTGGATTTTAACATGACTTTCATTTACTTAACATCTAATATTGACTGATAAGTGAGCACACATTATGTTTGTCTTTCTGAGTCTGGGTTACCTCACTCAGGATATTTTCTAGTTCCATCCATTTGCCTGAAATTTTCATAATATCATTTTTTAACAGCTGAGTAATACTCCATTGTATAAATGTCCCACATTTTTTAAACCATTCTTCAGTTGAGGGGCTCTAGAGGATTAGATTATTTGGTTTGATGAAGTCTAGTTTCTTGAGTTCTTCATACATTTTGGATATTAGCCCTCTGTCCAAGGTGGAGATGACGAATGTCTTTTCCCATTCCATAGGCTACTGTTTGGTCCTACTGGTGATGTGTTTTGCCTTACTAAAGCTTTTCTGGTACATGATGCCCCACTTACTAATTGTTGATCTTAGTGCCTGTGCTGTCTGTGTTCTATTCAGAAAGTCGTCTCCTGTGCAGTGTATTCAAGGCAATCGTTCACTTTCTCTTCTATCAGGTTTAGTGTGTCTGGTTTTTTTTTTTTTTTTTTTTTTTTTTTTTTGGTTTTTCGAGACAGGGTTTCTCTGTGTAGCTTTGCGCCTTTTCCTGGAACTCACTTGGTAGCCCAGGCTGGCCTCGAACTCACAGAGATCCACCTGGCTCTGCCTCCGGAGTGCTGGGATTAAAGGCGTGCGCCACCACCGCCCGGCTTAGTGTGTCTGGTTTTAAGTTGAGGTCTTTGATCCAACTGGACTTGAGTTTCGTGCTGGGAGATAAATACAGATTGATTTACTTTCTTGTATCTGGAGACATTCAATTAGACCAGCACCATTTTTGAAGACTTTTTTTCCAGTGTGTATTTCTGGCTTCTTTATCAAAATTCAGGTGTCCATAGGTGTGTGGATTTATTTTTGAGTTTTTTTATTTGATTCCATTGATCAACATGTCTGTTTTTATGCTGATGCACACTGGTTTTATTACTATAGCTCTGTGGTACAACTTGAAATCAGGAATGGTGATATCTTCAGAACTTTATTTATTGTTTGGGATTATTAGAGCTTTCCTGGGTTTTTTGTTTGTCCATATGAAGTTGAATATTACCTTTTCAGGATCCTTAAAGAATTATGTTGGAATTTTGATGAGGATTGAATTAGATCAGCAGATTTCTTTTAGTGGGATGGTAATTATTACTATGTTAATGCTACTAATCTATGAGCATGGGAGATCTTTCTATCTTCTGATATTTTCTTCAATTTCTTTCCTCAAAGATTTGGATTTTTTATCATACAGGGCTTTCATTTGCTTGGTTAGAGTTACCCAAAGATATTTTATATTATTTGTGGATATTGTGAAGGTTGTACTTTTCCTAACTTCTTTCTTAGCCCATTTGCCATTTGTATATAGAAGTGATACTGATTTTTTGAGTTAATCTTGTTTGTCTCTAGTCACTTTGCTAAAGGTGTTCATCAGCTGTAGAAATTCCCTGGAAGAAATTTGGAGGTCATTTATGTATACTATCATATAATTTGAATAGTGATATTTTAATTTCTTTTTCAATTTGTATCCCCTTGATTTCCTTCAGTTGTCTCATTGCTCTAGTTAGAACTTCAAATACTGTATTGAAAAGATATGGAGAGTAAACAGCCTATTCTTATTCCTGAATTCAGTGGAATCGCTTTTAGTTTATTTTCATTTAGTTTAATGTGGGCTACAGACTTGCTGTCAATTGTTTTTATTATGTTCAGGTATCTTCCTTATATATTCTCTCCAAAACTTTTACCATGAAAGAGTGTTGGATTTTGTGAAAGGCTTTTTCATCATCTAATGAGATAACCACTTTCTTTCTTTCTTTCTTCCTTCCTTCCTTTCTTTCTTTCTTTCTTTCTTTCTTTCTTTCTTTCTTTCTTTCTTTCTTCTTTCTTTCTTTCTTTCTTTCTCTCTCACTCTCTCTCTTTCTTTCTTTCTTTTTTCTTTCAGTTTGCTTATACGGTGGATTGCAGTGATTGATTTTTGAATGTTGAACCATCCTGCATGTCTGAAATGAAGTCTACTTGATCAGAATGGATAATGCTTTTGATGTATTCTTGGATTTGGTTTGCAAGCATTTTATTGAGTATTTTTGCATCTGTGTTCATGAAGGAATTTTGTTGTTTACTCTTCATGTGGTTTGGGTATTAGGATGACTGTGGCCTTACAAAATAAATTTAGTAATATTGTTCCTTCTGTTTCCATTTTGTGCAATGGTTTGAGGAGTACTGACCTTGGCTCTTATTTGAAAGTCTGGTAGAATTCTGTGCTAAAAGCATCTGGGCT